TATATTAATGTTTAATGCTAGGATATAAGATGATATGATGATGATATTGTCAATAATTATTACATATAACAAACACTGTTCTAAAGAATTTGCATATATAAACTCATTTGGTGTAGCATATGGAAATGAATTTTTAACTAACAACTACTTTATGACAAAAAGTGTGTCTCCTCCTGTATGGCTCTTGCAACAGATTATGGGTCCTGAAATTCAACCATTGAGGAAGCATTTTAAAAGATTTACACTGGATGCCCAAATAGTTCAGGTCTCAGGGTGTATTTGTGTTTAAGGTATTGTCTCTTTTAGTTGCAAATCCACCCTTCTATAGTTTACTTTGTAATGCTGGTGCTGATCTGCACTGCTTTCATTTCTCCTTTTAAGATGCTTCCTACTCAGTTCTGAGAATAGAAGGCAGGATAGGGAGATAAAAAGGCAGGAGAAAAAGGAAAGAAAAGACTGCTTCGATTCATCCTATTGCTGTTCCTGCATGAGGACCATCCTGATAATGGCCCTCCAGCCTGGCAGCAGCAGTTGTTTCAAACTCTAAATTCTTACTATATTTCCAGGATTAGCCTCATTGGGCTAATACAGATATTACTTCTTTCTTAAAAGTTTGGGCCCCAGCTTCGTGGGGATCTTCCACCAAGAAGAAAATCCCAACCCCTTTCTTCTCTTGTGCCCCTAGCCTTAAGAATGGTAGCTATTTTTCTGTCTGGAATGCACTTGATACCAAGAGATTCTGGGATATATTTGGTCATGTCTATGGCTTTTAATGAAATACTGACTTCCTTGCAAATGGGAAATGAGGTACTAAAAATTCATGACATCAAGTCACATCAGTTAACTAAAATAATCACTTCTAGTTTATTACAATGCAGTAAAAGACACTAAGTCTTCTACACTTAATTATTATAGTAGTTATGATGACTACAAAAGCTGTGGGTGGGATGTCCTCTTCTGACTGGAGAATCTGCAGACAGAAAAGTATAAGTTTGGCACTTTTAATTCTCAGTTTGAATGAAAAAAGAACAAAAGCACTCCTATGGCAGCCAAAATAATTTCTTAGTTTTTGTAGCTGAAGGACTGTCTTCTCTTTAAAAAGCAGATGCATATTTTATTTGTGCTAATTGTAGAATTTCAATATAAATTGAAATCTAGCACTTGCTATGCCACTTAGGAAAAATTCAGGACATGAATTGTGAAGAACAATGAAGCCAAAACTTGTATGATGACATCTGAGTGGACTCAGTTAATAATGAGAATCTTACAACTCAAGAATTTCTGGCCGGGTGCGGTGGCTCACGCCTGTAATCCCAGCACTTTGGGAGGCCGAGGCGGGCAGATCACGAGGTCAGGAAATCGAGACCATCCTGGCTAACA